AATGTTCAATAGACTTCTGTGAACCTGGGTGAAGACCTGGTTGGCCAGCAGTGTGGCAGGACCTGGGGACTCTTGGGCCCAGAGTCAGTGACATAGCCACAGAGGACTAGAGCGGAGAGTGAAGCATCCGACTGATAAGAAGAGAGGGCAGATGCATAAGAACACCCACACTTGCAGATAATACCCATTTGTCCTGGCTTCAATGACTGGATGATCAGATTTTAGTTTTCTTGCATTGAGTTTTAATCCATGCTGAGGGTTGCAACTTTTGATCTTCATCAGTAAGTGCTTCAAGTCCTCTTCAGTTTCAATAAGCAAGGTTGTGTTATCTGCATATTTCATGTTGTTAATGAATCTTCCTTCTATTCTGATGCAACATTCTTCAGATAGTTGAGTTTCTCAGATTATTTTTCAGTTGAAGATTGAATAATTTTGGTGAAATGACACAAGCCAGATGCACATCTTTCCTGATTCTACACCATGCAGTATCTACCTATTCTGGTTGAATGTCTCTTGGTCTATGCAAATGTTGCACATGAGCACTTAATTAAGTGCTCTGTAATTCCCATTAGTTGCGGTGGTGGCTGTGTGCCACGGAGTCGGTTCTGACTCATAGTGACCCTGTACAGGGTGTCCAAGGATGTAAATCTTTACAGGAGCAGAAAGCCTCATTTTTCTCCCGTGGAACAGCTGGTAGTTTCAAACTGCTGGCCTTGCGATTAGCAGCCCGATTTGTAACCACTACACTACCAGAGTGTTGTCTATAATTTGTTTTGATTCATATAGCCAAATGCCTATGTGTTACTAATTAGTTCATAATTCCAGGTCATCCTTTTTAATCTGTCTTAGTTGGGAAGTTACACTGAAACCTGTCCACCTTGGGTGATTACTGGTATTTGAAATACTGGTGGCATATATTCCAGCATCACAGTATCACACATTTTGCTATAGTATACAAACTGACAAACAAGTGGAAGACAATTATTGGTATGTTTAATTCAAAATCTACAAACCAATAAACCCATTGCCATAGAGTCAATTTTGACAATAAATCCATGATCCAGTAGTTTCAAGGTATTTTTGTTAAAAGAAATGTTATTGAAAGTTTTATTCTCTGGAGTATAAACACAGAGAAAAATGTATTCTATAGTGACTGGATAAAAACATAGATATTATTTTAGAAATAATTAAAAAGTTAAACAATGCTAATATAATGCACAACTGATGGTAATTTTACATTATTCTCAATATTATATTTTCCTATCAATTTCATTTGATTTATTTTTCACAAGGGGATTGTCTCATTTTGATTTGTGTACATCCTCCATAATTTTTAGTTGATTCATTTTGGCCAAGGCAAATATGCTGAAGGGAAGTCTTAATAAGTTGTAAAATCAATAAATAAGCTAAAAAAAGTGGAGTTAGAAACAGTTGAATTAAAAGCAGGAAACATGTGTTTCTAAGTAAACTTCATGTGCATGAAATTTGCAGTGCTAATTGTGAATTCATAAGATTTCTCTTAGGATCCCTGGAGGCACTTAGCTGGTTTAAACACTCAACTTCTATCATCTGCTCCCCTGGAGAAAGAAGTGACTGTCTGCTAAATTAATGATTTGTAATCTTTGAAATTCTATGGGACAGTTCTACTGTGTGTGATAGGCTTGTTAAAACTTTCAATTGACTGCAGCATAGGTAGGCTTGTGGTATGTCAAAACTTTTCTTCTGAGGTTTTCAGGTTTTTTGTTTTTTTTTTCATCTCAAGTCATTCTTCATTCACTAATTGATTCATTTTTCTCTGATACATTCCATAAATAGCATCAGGTGCCTCTTTAAACAGCATTGTACTAATATAAACAGCATGAACTTGGCTTGATATTAGTTAGAATAAGCTAAGATACGCAAAAGCATTCTATCATGAAGACCTATACAAATACTGAGTGTCTTAAAGCATTCTAAAAATATTTTTACTCCAATTTATTTTTTCTGTAAGTGTGAAAATCTGAAATAAGAACATTAATTAAAATTTTCTAAATCCTGACACGTTTCAAAATAGCTACACCTTAATGAATTACATTTTATTCATATTTAAGTTAATAATACATCCTAAATTATGACTGTTGTTGTTGTTGTTAAGTGCCATCGAGTCGGGTCCGACCCATAGCGACCCTGTACAGGGTTTCCGAGGGTGTAAATCTTTACAGGAGTAGAAAGCCTCATCTTTCTCCCGTGGAGTGACTGGTAGTTTCGAACCGCTGACCTTAAGGTTCGCAGCCCGATTCGTAACCACTACGCTACCAGAGCTCCTTCAAATTATGACTAAGATACCTTAAAACCAAAGGTTTGCCATTCCTGGATGCACATGACAATTATCTATGAGTTTTCAAAAATTACTATGTGCTGGTTATCTATAAAATTAACATTATTTGAAAAAATTTTAACTTAAAAAAAGCTAACATTGCCCTCTCTAATCCTGAGGAGGAGTCCTGATGTGGGCTATGGGCTAATGTGTCAGATTGCAAAGTACTCTGAACTGCAAGATCGGTGGTTCAAGCTCACCAGCTGCTCCTTGGAAACCCTATTCAGGGTTACTAGGGATCAGAATCAACTAGATGGTACTTAACAACAACAATCCTGAGGTAGTTAAACCAGCATAGGTAGGGTTGTTGTTGTTATTGTGAGTCTGTTTTGACTCACAGCAACCCAGTATAGGGTTTCTGAAGCTTTAAATCTTTGCAGGAGCAGAAAGGCTTATCTTTCTAGTGTAGAATGGCTGGAAGGCTTGAAATGCTGACCTTTTGTCTTACAGCCCAGTAAATATTCTATGGAGTCACCACATTCCCCATAGAGAGGGTTGTTGTTGTTGTTGTTAAGTGCCCTCTAGTGGGTTCTGACTCATAGTGACCCTCTATACGGTTTTCAAAGAGCAGCTGGTGAGTTTGAATCACCATCATCATGATTCAAATTGACCTTGTGGCCCAGTGCTTTATCCCACAGCGCCATACCAGACATGTATATAAATTTTATAAGGTTATAATGATGTGCTATGTGCTTAGCAATAACAGTGTAGATTCAGACCACCCTCTGAGTTGAGATCTAATACACTATTATACCAAGATGAGATGTATTTTCTAACTTTGAGAAAGATAGTGGTGGTGGTGGTAATGTGCCATGAGGTCGGTTCCAACTCACAGTGACCCTGTATAGGGTTTCCGAGGCTAAATCTTTATGGGAGCAGAAAGTCTCATCTTTCTCCCATGAAACAGCTGGTAGTTTTGAACTGCTACTTTGAGGGTAGCAGCCCAACTCGTAACTAATCACTATGCTACCAGAAAGATAGACCTAGTATATTTGTAAATATAAATTTTAGATAACAAGAAACAGCAAGGTTTCATGACTAATATTATAAAATAATAGAAAATTTAAAAATATGTATGCTTGGACTATTCAATACATTATTTCATTGATGAAATTACCATGAATAAGAGTTAGGATTACAAATGGAATGACTGGATATAAATGATTTCAACATATTTCAAAATAGTAACAGAAAAAGTAGAGTTAAGATGCACGATGTGATGTCAGACTCTGTAGGCTCAATAGTCTTAATGAACTTAAACTATCTTCATTAGCGCCTCTTTCTGATGCCATTCTCTTCTTAAATAGTCTTGTGTTGGAAACCCTGATTCCAAAATATTAGATGAATAACTAGAACAGACAAATTATTATGAGTTATAAAAATATAAATATTATTATATTCCTGAAACTCACTGTCTTGAGAACATGTTTACACCAAGGTAGAACTAGTGTTTTGTGGGGAAAAGCAGATGGAGGACTCCTTGGCGGATCTGCTTTGTCTTCACACTATAGATGATTGGGTTCAGCACAGGTGGAATCAATAAGTAGATATGAGCCATGAAGATGTGAATGAGGGGAGAAGAGTGTTTGGCAAAACGATGGACAATGGACAGTCCAATCATGGGTACATACAGAATTAATACAGCACAGATGTGAGAAGCACATGTGTTGAGGGCTTTAAGTCTGCCCTCTCGGGATGCAATTCTCAACACTGAACGAAGTATGAAAACATATGATACAAAAATACCCAGAGAGTCCATTCCCCACAGCACAGTGATCAGAACCAATCCATATATAACATTAAACTTGGTGTCAGCACAGGCAAGGCGGATCATGTCTTGGTGCAGACAATAGGAATGAGAAAGGATGTGGGAGTGGCAGAAAGGAAAGTAGGCCAGCCTGGCCAGAAGTGGAATCATGGCAAAGACACTCCTGAGCAGGGCTGCAATTCCGATCTTGGTGATGAGTCTTGGTGTAAGAATGGTGGCATATCTCAGAGGGTGGCAGATGGCCACATATCGATCAAGGGCCATAGCCAAGAGCACAGATGATTCAGTGAAGGAGAAAGTGTGAATGAAAAACATTTGGACCACACAGATATTAAACTGTATCTCTTTGGAAATGGACCACAACACCCTGAAGAGTGTTATCATTGTGGGCATGGACATGCCCATGTCAGTGAGAGAAAGCATGGCAAGGAAATAGTACATGGGTTCATGGAGTCTAGGGTCTGTGCGGACAATATGTAAAATGGTACAGTTGCCCATTATTCCAACAAAATAGAGCAAACAGAATGGGATGGAAATCCAGTGGTGAAATTCCTCATATCCAGGGATGCCTGTGAGGTAGAATGTGGAGGACAGAGAATTGCTGGAGTTTGAAGCTGCCATAGTGTTGACTTGATGAGCTAAAATCCCATCCCCAAATCATACTTCTATGGGGAGGGAAATGGAAAGATAGGATCTGTGTCAGAATAAAACAAAGCATAACAAAAACAAACAGAATACTTCACTGTTTACCAGTAATCACCTCTAAACTCCTTCCTATTTTCCTGTTTGGTTATTGTTACTGTCAGTGCCATCTAGTGGGGTCTGACTCACAGCAACTCTGTATAAGGTTTCTGATGAGCAGCTTGTGGGTTAGCAGTCCAATGATTATCTTACAGTGCCACACTAGTTCTCCACAGTCCCAACCCAAGATCATACTACCATTGGTATGATCTTAGTACCATGCTAAGAGTTGCCACATAAGTAAAATATCCATTCTAAAACCATAAGAATCCTGCCTTCTCTTTTATATACAAACCCATAAGTGCCTTGTCTAAAGATGTAATAATCATCTCACAATGACACTACCCAGGAAGAATAGCAAACAACTTCTAGATCACAATTTTACACCTTTACTTTTAGGATATTTATGGTCTTACTTGGCCAAGGTTACTGGTCTTACTTTAGTTTTATAATTTTGTTTATGACTCTAAGCGATTTACATGAAATCCTTTTATATGCCTGATTTTCATAGTTTCTTCCATAATGCTAGAACATCTTGCAACACACTTAAAAGCACTGGTCAACATAATTCTTGTTTTACTAATCTATCTATCTATCTATCTATCTATCTATCTATCTATATCTCTATCTATCTATCTATCTATCTATCTATCTATCTATCTATCTATCTATCTATACACACACACACATATATATATAATATATGTCACTGGTGTCTGCAGTCAAGTATGATATTAATTTGGTTTGAGACCCACATTCTTATTCAGTTTTTTGTTGTTGTTGTTTGTTTGTTTGTTTTACAGTCTAGATCTTCTGGTAAGCTTTCATTATTGAACAAAAATCAAAATCAAAAGCTAAATATAGGTTAAGGTATAATTAATTGAAATAATCAGTGTCAAATTGTTGAAAGACTAACTTAAAATAATAACAAAATACTTAATTTGAGGACAGCTTCAATTTAAAGGTGCAAAATCTTATACTTGTTAATTTTCATAATAAATTTCCACAAAAATGCAAAATGATAGGTAGATTATTGTACCAGTGAATTATAGCACAAGCTCATAATTCAAATCAAAATGAAGCAAAATAATTTTAAAAATACAAAATGTATGCCTTGGACTTGGACTTTGTTCCCACTAGATTCCAATATTTATTCTGTGATCTTATGAAATGCTACAGTTGAAGTCACTGCAGTAGTGTTTCATGTATTCACTTAGTTAAGGTCAGTCTGTAATTCCTCAACCTTTTTTTGTAATAGTGCTTCATTTTGATCCTCTACTATTGCTCCTGACTCTAATCATGTGGCATCTTCCACCACTTCCTAAGGGGGGATAATAGAGTTCTTTGATACTGTTTTGTTGGCCTGAAAGTCTTCAGGTTTTCTAAAGTAGGTTTTAGACCACTCAACTGTGTCATTGTGCTATTAAGAGCCATGGAGTCAGATCCAATTCATAGTGACCCACATAGGGTTTCTGAGGAGCAACTGGTTGGTTTGAAATGCCAACAGTATAGTTAGTAGCAGTTCAGTGCTTATCCTATAGTGCTACATTAATACCCTGAGCTTTAATTAAAGTCAAATTAAAATCATTTTATATACCTGATCTTTATAGTTTCTTCAATAATACTAGAACATCTTACAATGCACTTTAGCAAAATTCAGGCAAGAGCGCTGAAGTTTATTTGGCGCCAACTTAATCTTATTTTGGAAGTCCTCTTCTATTACGTCTGAAAGTGGCCCCCCACCTTCTCCATGGATATAGAAGATGTTACTTACCTTAGAAATCCAGAGAATCTTAGGCAATTTTGTCTAAAAAGTCTCCCTTAGATGAGTACAATCTGGATGGTACTGTTAATTATTGTTGTTAAGTGCCATCAAGACGATTCTGACTCATAGCAACTCTTGTATAGGGTTTCTGAGACTGCATATCTTTGCAGGAGCATAAAGCCTCATCATTCACCGATGAATGGGCTGGTGGGCTTAAATTGCAGACTTTGTGTCCACAGTCCAGTGCTTATAGTACGGAGTCAATGCACTTCATGGGCAGTACTAGTGTAGGAGTAATTAATAAACATATCTATCATTGCTGTTATTCTTATTAAGTGTCATTGAGTCTGTTCTGACTCATAGCAACCCTATCTAGGGTTTCTAAGGAGCGGCTGGTGGATTTGAACTGTGACCATTTGATTAACAGCCCAGTGTTTATTCTAATCTGCTTTAAGCTCAGAATCTCTTGTTTCCAGAACCAGTTATTTGTCCTTATATTCCTGCTATCTGTCCTTTTCTATTTTGCCTTACAAGACCCCAATCTGTTTCCTTTTACTCTCTACCACTTTTCTGTTGTCCCAGGTCTTACTTGGAAGAGTAGTTCCTCTTGTTGTGAGTATTCATCCCAGCTCCCAGAGCAAAGAGGGTGAGTTAATAAGTCATTTTCCAGTCCTTAGAGATATGAGGCCCCAGGATAATCACAGGGCAGTGGCCGTAACCCTATCAGTACTAACATTAAGTTTGCCACCGTTTCTAAGCTCCTTATCCCCACCACTTCCATACTGCAGCAGAATGTTGCAGTTTGGGAACAGGGGGTCAAGGACATTCTAGACATTGTTGCTATTGTTAAGTGCTGTCAAGTTTGCTCTGGTAGCATAGTGGTTACGAATCGGGCTGCGAACCTTAAGGTCAGCGGTTCGAAACTAGAGCCTCTCCGCGGAAGAAAGATGAGGCTTTCTACTCCCGTAAAGATTTACACACTTGGAAACCCTGTACAGGGTCGCTATGGGTCGGAACCGACTCAACGTCACTTAACAACAACAACAACAACAACATAGCGACCCTATAAAGGTTTCTGATGAATAGCTAGTGAGTTTGAACCACCAACCTTGCAGTTCAAACTGACCTTGCAATCCAGTGCATTAACCTGCAGTACCACACCAGGACTCTAGATGTAGTCAAATATTTATTGTCTCAGTATCTGGGGAAAATACTGTAAAGTGACATGATTTGTTGTTGTGTGCCGTCGAGTTAGTTCCGACTCATAGCGACCCTGACAGGGTTTCCGAGGCTGTAAATCTTTACGGGAACAGAAAGCCTCATCTTTCTCCCGCGGAACAGCTAGTAGTTTCAAACTGTTGACCCTGACGTTCACAGCCCGATTCGTAACCACTACACTACCAGAGCTCCTTAAAGTGACATGATACAATATACTAATTTGAATGCAGACTATGATAGGACAATAATATGGTTTGTAAATTTTACAATTTACATGCAAAGTAAGTAAAATAGTCGCTACTAGGCTTCCAAGGAGCTCTGGTCACATTATGGTTACAAGTCAAGCTTCCAGTTTCAAGGCCAGCAATTGGAAACTACCAGCTGCTCCATAGTAGAAATATGAAGCTTTTTGCTCCCATAAAAAAGTACAGCCTCAGAAATCCTATACAGGGTTGCTATGAGTCAGAACTGACTCCATGGCACACCACCACCACTAGGTTTCCAGTTTATACATACTTACTCTGAACAAAATAAAACATGTTTAAACATGTCTCTGCAATCAATGGGTGGCTGTAGACAAGTTCTCTTAGTACTATACTTGTCTTAATCCTGTTACTGTGCCTACAAATAATAATAATAAAAAAGATGCTAAATTAAAAAAGCATTGTACAAAGATCAGTCAGTTCAAAGATCTGAACTCTCCTTTTTCTTTTAAGCAAGATAGAAACTAATGGAGACAATGTTATGTAACACATCATAACCAAGGATGAATCTTGAATTTACCAATAAGATTTAAAGAGGGTAGATCAGTGACAACATTGACTTCCAAGGCGATCTACAAGGCCAGTTAAATTCAGGACAGAGAGGTCAGTTCTGAATATTATGGCGATTGATCTTTGAGATTGTAAGGATTGATAGATTTTCTTGAAGACACAGGACTTATTATGAAGACTTTCTAAGAAAATTGAAAGAGTCACTGGTGAGAAAAGGGTCAGGAAAGTTTTGCCAAGGAATCTATTTCTGTTATTACAATGCACCTACTCATTTTTTATGGATAACAAGTGCTGTCCTGTGAGATTTGTTTTGAAACCTTATCCCATTCACCAGTTATCTATGTTCTTGCTCCTTCAGATATTGTTTTTTTCCTCCAAACTCAAACAGCACTTTAAAGGAGCACAACTTGAGTCCCTTGATGTTACAAACACTGCTGTTTTAAAAAAAGGCATAAATTGAAGATCACAGAATTCTTTGGGTAGGAGTTATTGTTGTTGATATTGTTAAGTGCCATCGAGTTGATTCCGACCCATAGCGACCCTGTACAGGGTTTCCAAGGCTGTAAATCTTTACGTGAGCAGAAAGCCTCATCTTTCTCCTGCGGAGCCACTGGTAGTTTCAAACTGCTGACCTTATGGTTTGCAGCCCAATTCATAACCACTACGCTACCCGAGCTCCTTTTGGGTAGGAGTTAGAGTGAGGAAAATATTGCCTTCAGAAGCATTTAGATGAGGATAGATGAGGATATGTTGAGAAACAACACTTTCGCATTTTTATATTTTCATTTAATAAAAGTTTTTATGATTCTAAAAGTGGCAGCACTGACGGACTCAAGCGTGGCAACAATAGTGAGGTTGGCCCAGGATTGGGCAGTGTTTCATTTTGCTGTGCATAAGGTCACTATGGGTCAGTACCGACTTGATGGCACCTAACAACAACAAATACTTGTTGTTGATTGAATTGTGACCCCTTAAAATATGTGTAAATGTGGCTTATACTTTTCAGTGACTTTACAGTAATGTAATGATATAATGTGGCACTTACGTGATAATTCCTCATCATTTGATCTGATGTGATAAATTGATAAAAGGATAAAGGGTAGACTGTAATACCCTTAATCCCA